ATCTTCAGCCAATAATAGACAAGCAGTGTGTTGCTCCAGTACAGAGCGGAGCTGCAACTTTTAACTGATGGGCGAACTGCTTGACTCGACTGTGTGCGACTTTGGAAAACAGCAACAGGGCTGCGCAAGTGAGTTTAGATGCGTGAGTGCGGAAGCTCACTTGAGGCCCAGCAGTCAATGGAACAAGAGGAAGAAACAAGTTGTCGCTCTATAAATATCCTGACTTCATTTGAGTTTATGGCAACAGCCGTGCGCGCGCACATGCCATCATGAATGACATGAACCATGACCCATGTTCAGGCTGCAAACATTCCAGTCATGCTTGAGATGCGGTTTTGCGGCTCAAGCCTGTCAGTAGCAGTTGACTCAACGTGCTTGATTGAGATTTTGTGAACCATTGACATTGAAGCCTCATGTCAACTGGCTTGCCTGCTGATAAGAAGCGTCGGACAGTGACATATTCTCCTGCAAGTCAGACAGTGTGTCACACTGAATCTTCAGAATCAGAAGTTGAAGCCAGTGCGACAGTGTGTCTGAGTCAAATCGAACGTCCTCAGCCTGACTGGACTGACGCTCAGCCACGGGACTGGGGAGTTGAAATGACTGAGCCGGAGCTTCAGCAGGGGAATGACAATGACGACGTCGAGCAGTCAGATTTATCGGAGCTGGACTCGGAACTGGAACGTGAACCTTGCCCAGAATTTCTTGCAGAATCTATTCTGACAGATTTCAGGACCGGTGACCGGCGCAACATGTGTTGTCGTCCTGGTGTGACTATTATGTGGGTTGGACATGAAGCGTTTGTTCAGTTGCCGAGTCAGCTGAACGTCAATCGGGAACCTGTGACCTTTGTTACTGGCATGCGTGGCGCAGTGCTCATGATCATCAACGACAATCGCAAGACAATGCATTGCTCCCATTGCTCGAACTTTGATTCGACTTATGTGCAAGAATACCCCAGTCCAACGATCTGTGAAGATGATGATGATGATCCGTGCAGCTGTCCTTGCCACAAGTTATTGAAAGCGCTTGACTTGGATCATGGCAGAGTATTTTTTGAGCTGGCTCGCCAGCGACGTCAAGAATGAATAATGATGATGGACAATGGAATGGTCCAACGTTGCTGGCGCTAACGTGCGCTCATGATGACTTGCGACTCACTGATGCAACAATAAAAAAATAATCATTATTATAGAATTGAGTGACACACACTTAATGCATGTTGTATGTTCTTGCATGTGTTGGTCCTTGTTTGCATTTGTGTCATGTATGTTTGCATTGTGTTTGCACTCTTTTTGTATTTTTTGTATTTTGTTGCATTTTTTTGCATGTTGTTGCAGTTTTTTGGCATTTTGTTGCATTCTGTTTTTTTTGGGCACTTTTTTGTATTTTTTGCACTTTTTGCATGTTTTTGCACTTTTTTGCATCTTTTTGCACTTTTTTGCATCTTTTTGCATTTTTTGCATCTTTTTGCACATTAGATGCAAAAATAAGATAATTTGAGATAATTTGAGATAAATTGAGGTAAGGTCTAAACCCCATGGATCTGAGGTTCTTAATATAATCACTGAACCATGTGCTGGTATCCAATTCATTTCAACCTTCGAGCTGAAACGCACGCTCGGGAGGGCAGGCACATGCTTCCAGTCCGACATGAGGTTCCCCTCAGCGACAGGGGCGTTCATCATGGAAGACAGCAAGCATCCCAACACGCAAACAGCAGCAGGAGAAGGCTTTCCGGAAGACTTCCCTTGTGACCCTTCTTCTTTTCTCCCTTGGAATCACGGGAAGTGGATCGAGAGGTCGACTTGGAACGATCCCTGCTCGATTTGCGATGCTTCCGATCCTTTCCCTGCTTCTTATGCTTGTCTGCGGATGGCTCCCTTGACCCTGGAACGGCCGGCTTCGGGTCGATGTGAGCAAACGGGCAGTTCTCACCACGGTCACACCTCCCCTTGGCGTAGAAACGACATTCTTTCCTCCCCTTTGGGCTATTCGTTCGGCCTTTACCCTTGCCCTTCTTAGGCTTAGCGTCCCTTGATGGGGTCCTACCCCTGGCATCGCCCGATGGCTGTTCATGCTTGTACGTGCAATTGTCCCGCCGACACGACCCGTACTTGACAAATGCAATGCAAAACCCCTTAGGCACACGTTGGCTCTCAGCGGCGGGTGCGGCTGGCCTACCCCCGTTCTGCCTAGCAACCCGTTCTCGGTTGCGCTCGAGCCTGGCTCGAGACAGGTATTGCCTCACAGATTCAATCAAGTAGGTGTATGAGTGATCGGCGGACTCTTCCGAGGCGCTCAAATAGACATTCAAATGGGGTTGCATTTGCTTACTTTTCTTCAGCTGGTTGTAGAACAGAGCCTCAAGCATGGAGTCATCCGGTGTCTTCGCATTCATACCTGCAAGGACACCCTCCCAGCTACGCATGAAGGAGGTGAGGTTATCGTTCACGAGCCTCACGTTGAGGAGATCCTCCATGGCATAGGTGGCCCCGTGCTTGATGTTCGTGCTCAGGTGCTCGTGCACCATGAGAAGCACTTGTCTCCCACGAACTGGATTCCTCTTCTGCGCCTCCACCTCCTTGAAGGTGTCGACTTGTCTCGCCAGGTCACCAGCAACTTGGCGTCCAAGGTGAGGAAGGTACCTGGTTCTTTGAGCTCCTCGATCGTAACGGCGGGCTCCCACACTCTGCTGATCCACGTGAAAGCGTCATCGGGGCGATCGGATGCCGCACATACGGCTTCCCGAACCTTGATGCGCCAATTCCTGTAACTCTCAGGAAGTGGGAAGGAGGGAATGATGATCCTCTCCGCCTCCTTGACCTTGGGCTTGTCATGGTCTGCGTCCACAGCGGTCGCCTGCTTACCCAAGATCTTGTTGAGCTTCTTGCGGATCACTAGGGCTTTCTCCGATGATGATGATGAGGATGATGATGTTGAGGAGCTGGAGGGTGAAGAGCTCGGAGAGTCGGAAGGAGAGCCGCTCTTTCGCTTCTTATGGCTTCTTCTTCTTGTCCTTCTTGCTCTTCTTCTTTTTGTCCTTCTTCTTCTTCTTCTTGTCCTTCTTGCTCTTCTTCCCATCGTCATTCCCATCGTCATCGTCGTCGTCATGATCATCGTCATCATCGGGATTGCCGGTAGGTGGTTCCCCACCGCCTCCGCTCTGGCCTTTGCCTGCGCCTGATGGGTTTCTATTTCCATCATTTGGGTCCTGTGCCGGAGATGTCGGTTCGTATTCATCGGCATCCTTGTCAAGATCATCAGCGGCACCTGGCCCATCACGGCGGAGTTCAGTGGAAGCGGACCTGACTCGTACCTTAGAACTAAGATCCAGACCTGGGGGAGGAAACGTCTGTACAGGAGAGGCCTTTGGCCTCAGACCGAAAATCGGAACATTAGACGAACTACTCTGCTCACTGCGAGATTTCAGCTCATGACGTAGTGCCTCAATGTCCCTCGACTGCTTCATGATAATCTCCCTCATTTCAGCAGCGCTCCTGTCCGCGTCCTCCTTCTGCTTGTTGTGGGTGACTTCCCAAATCAGTTTGAGCTGTTCATACTTCTTCTCAGCCTCTAAGCGTTGAGCAACCCACTGCTGCCTTGCCTCGTTGAACTCTCTTTCCTTCGCCATTGCCTCTTGTTGGCATACATTGATGTGGTTCACCGCGTCCTGATAGAGTCGGCCTTTTTCCTCGACATGGCCGGCTTGGAGCTGATTGATGATGGCGTCGTGGCGTGCCGAAGCATAGGCAGCCACTTCCTCCGTGCTCGGACCTGTGTTGACCACATTTACCGTCTGGCTATGTTGATATATGTTCGGGGCGCTCACATGATGTTGATGAAGGTGAGTCTCATTCTTAGTCATGTTCGCGTGCATCTCTTGCCTAGGTTGATGTCCGGCGAGAGGTTCCCCTCCGCTTCCCATTGAATCCTCCGGGAGGACGACCGAAGTGATGGGCACAAGCGCATCGCCTTGGTCGGACTCAGGAAAACTGCTTCGGGAGCGCTGTGACGGATTGCATGGCGGTTTCCCTTCCGGATGCCCACCCTTGATCAATTCGTTGGCCACTGCTTCGTTCATCCTTGCTATGGCAGGGTGGCATCCGTCGCCGCTTGACGCCATTGCGGCGCGGGTGAGAGCTGACTGTACAAGGTACCAGCGATACGGCTGATAACCTATTGAAAGGTGGATTCTACCTAAATGTCAGCACGGGCGGCAGTCAATTTTTCTTGAGCCAGTATCACGTCGGAATTCCATTACCTATCAACAGGAACTCCCCTTGAAACAGCGCTTGTTGCCTAAAGCTGCAAGTATGGAAGTAGGGAGCCCCGTACTCAATTCCCAAAGGACCCAGAAACAAAAAGGCTATTCCTTTGGGGCCATGACTGCAAATGGGCCAAAAAGGGAAAACCAAAAGTTAAAAGGTCGGCTTTGGGCAGGCGAGTTCACAATCATTTGCCTTTTTGTTGTTTGTTTGTGGTTGGATATGGTCCGATATGGTTGATTCACTTGCTAAATTTGGGGAATCCACCGCAGAACTGGCTAGAATGTTTGGGCCACACTATACGGGTTTGACATGTCTTGAGGGTACCAGTTTGTTGGTGGCCTTAAAGGAAAAGCCACAGGACCACCGAAGCCCTGTCAGGGGTTCAAATCCTAAAAAGACGAGCCGTCCATACGAGTATGAAGGAGGTTTGGCCGCTGCCTTTTCTTTGACAGCCCAAGGTCTGTCGGCTTTTTGAATGGAAGTGTGGATCTTTGAAGTTGACCCATTTCGGTCTGGTAGAGCAAGGTTGCGACTAAGGGAACCAACCATTTGGATTTGTGGCTTCTTGCAGCCCCCTAGTAGAAAGGAATAGAACCCAACAAAACTAAACACCTAAAAGCATTCCAACAGCAGTGAAGCTCCGTGGGGAACCCGTCAAACAAAAAAGGATCCACTGGGTGAGCCATTTGGTCCTTCAACCCCGGCTCGATCTCGCGAGGCGGCTCGCGCCTGCCGGATCCCCGATCTTGGCGTAGAAGGTGCGCCTTACCCCCCGCCCTGTCGCTCGCTTGGAGTCCGGTGCTCCGACTAAGACTCAAAAGACATAGACCCAGAGCAAAAAACCAACCGTTTGAAAAACCGGCTTGTGGTTGCCAGGCATGTGCTTTGATATGCCCTGGTGTGAACCTCAGCGGGCTTCAGCGAGGCCAATCCCTTGGAGGCATCGTGAGGCATCATATGTGAGAAAAATAGCCATCATCCGTTCTGCAAGCCTCACAATAATTGTGGCACCTGTTTATTTTTCCGGACGAGAAATACCGATCCAATCCCAGAAATGGCCTGTATCTCTCTTGGGTTTGCCTTTTTCAAGGGAGGGCCCAAAGCCGCAAAACCACTTCTTTGTTGCCGAAACCAAAGCCAAACTGACCCCTCTGCCCAGTTCATTTGTCGCCCGTTCCGTTTCAGCCACTGCCAATTGGGGGGGGGGGGTGTTTGGCGGTCCGGGGAGGTTCCCATCCACCCGCTGCAAGAACCAGAGGTTCAAATCCAAATCCAAACCACGAATCCAAACCAACAAAAGGTTATACCTGAGCTTTGGTTGCAAGTGAGAGCACATCTTTTTCTAAAACATGTCTTGCAACCCTAGGGTTCAACCCCCGAAAGAATGGTATAGGTTCGTTTGTCTTGGGTGGGCATATTAACACAACCATGCTTTCAATCGCTTGAATCCCAGCGACCCAAAAAATGGTTGAAAAGCAAAAGCTGAATGAGCTTTGGGTTATCTTGTCACAACCCGCATGGTTTCTTTCATGTTAACCCATTGTTTTACTTGTTGTTGTCTTGGGTGATCTTCCTTCATATTAACCCCCTCCCCATCTTGCGTCATCTTGGCATTGTCTTGGACCACAAATGCAAGGTGATCACCTGTTGGGTCCATGGCTAAAAATGGTTGCAGAAAAGATGCGCTCCACTTCGCATGAGAATGAGATTTCTGGTCAGCGTGGGCAGCATGTCCAGAACGCCTCTTTCACGAAGCCTCGGTTGTTGGTCGTCTCCAGGGCCATCCTTGACCCAAATCTTGCAGAGAACCAGCATCCGGAAGGTGTCCATGAGTGGTTCTGAATAGTGCTCGTTTATGGTTGCAATATGTATGCGACATCAAAGAGGCCCGACGGTTGGCTCGGGCTGAAGGTCGACCCGATAAACCGCTATGACAAGTCTCTCGGGTATGCCCCAAGTGACCGCAATCCTCCTGTGAACTGCGTGCCTGGGCGTGGTTGTGGTTCTCCTCTGCGAAAAGTGACCAGCCTCTCACCTTGGCCTTGTGAAAGTCATTTCAGGTCGATGCGCTTTGGTTGCCAATTTGTTGGTTGGATATGCTTGGCTCACTTGCGACATGTGGGGAATCCACATCATTGGCAAAACTCTTCCGGAGACATGTGAGTCATAGTCAAACCTGGTACTTAAAATGGTCTACCCAGAACCAGGTAAGGACTTAAAAGACAGCTGCACCCGTGTAATCGTCGGGATCATCCCGAAAATTGGAAAAAACAACCAAGGGAACCCTAAACCACCCAACAAACAAAAACCAAGGGAACCCTGAACCACCCAACAAAACCCAAGAAATCCCTCTGCATCTGCGCCGGTTTTGACTGCGGCTCATGTCTCCGTCGGAGAAAGAAACAAGATCCGCCGTGAGGCGGCGGCAGCACTTGCAGCGCCAGGCGGAGGCCCTCCATGCCATCCTGGCGGATGGGTTCGGCGGCCTCATGGCCAGTTGCTCTGCTGGTTTCATGGGTGTGACTTTCATATCAATAGGCCGACGGTGCTCCGCAACAGCATGCAATACACCTGATAGGGGGTTATACCTTTTTTAGGGATCCAAATCACTTTGGGGCAACCCCCGTCCTTTTGGGAAAAATAGATGGCAACCAGAGTCGGCGACGAGAGGTTGCCCTCTGGTCAGACCAACAGGTGGATCAGTGTCGCCCTGGGGCATTTCTTGCTCCTTAGAGGTGGCCACGATCAACAGATCAGATCTGACCAAACTCAACAACTCAAGCAAACAGATCAACAAGTCAAGCAAACAAAGAAACATAACTCGGCCGTCGAGCCCTAGCGTCCAATTTCTCCTTGGCGTCACGCTGGGACTTGTCGAAGAGGCTTTGCTCCTGCTTGCGCACCTGGCACTGCGGTCTAGAAAACAGTTTGGATGTGCGAATCAGTGGGTCCACCCCTGTCACCTCCAATCTTGCTATTGGAACTACTACTGTTAACTTAAACCCTTTTGCCAAAGTAGGGGGAACCCAGAAAATGGGTTGGTTTCCTTTTGGCATGCCCAAAAAGTGACTATTAAAGTCATGTCCTGAGTCCGGAATGCCAAGCACCATCCAAAAAGCAGTCTCAATGGCCCAAAGGACCCACAAATAAAAGGTTATTCTTTTGCGGGGACCAAAGCGGGGAACCAACAGGCCGCCCTTGGGCAAGTGAGAAATCCAGAGTGCTGGCCAAATTTCAGAGGTTGGGTGGAAGCAATGGAAGCTGCGACCCCACTCCCAGGCGTGGCGTATCAGGCTGGCCTGATCCATTTCCGCCTGCGTCTCCGCCAGATCAGCCAACTCCTTTCGACGCAAACCGAGGGATCCGGGTCCGCGTGACGGCTGCTTGGCTTGTGTTTTGGCTTGGGGGCACCCAAACCAGGAAAACTGTTTGGCCATGAAGGCTTCTGTGCTGCCTCCTCGGCTAACTGACCTTGGGATGAACCCCAGTCGGAAGGTGGCTATCCCATTTATAGGATTTCATCTAGCGCAACTGGTGCAAAGTGCATGTTGTCCATCAGTATCAACGCAAGCCAACCTTGGAAATGTCTTATTTGGCCTTGTTTCCCAATACTGTGGGTGGACGAAATCCGTTCGCACCACTTTGAAACCCTGCAAAACCATTGTTCGTCGGCATTTGCAGGGGAATCATCATTCCAGGCTTCCCATCCACAGTATTGCTTAAGCCCCTTGGATTTTCCAAAGCCAGCATCGAAAAATGACACCCAGGAAGGTAAGGCAGGCGAGGGTCCAGGCACCAAGGATTCTGAGGCACCAACTAGCCCTCATTCTGCCACCCGACTGGGGCGACTTCAAAACCAGCGAACTGGAGCCAAAAGTACTGCGAACCACTCCACATCCAGGACTTCCCCAATGGCAAATTCCCCGTTTACATCGGGAGGTTCCTATCATCGTGGGAACCATCCAACTCCACCAGCCCGACTAGAGACTCAGCTGCCCAGTTTGGACCTTCAAAAGGTTAACCTTTGGGGGCCACGAATTGAAATGGGAACCCAAACCGGGGAAACCAAAAGCTCACTTCCTGAGTGGAATGGGAGGGCAAAAACTGACCGAACTGCAATTTACCTCTAAAATGGTCTTCCCAAAAAGTATAACTTCCATTTGCTTTAGCCACCTGGACAAAATCCCAGTAGTGATAGATTCCCTTAAAATCCAACAGGGAGAAAACAACAAAAAATAATTTCAGCAAATGGAAGAAAACACTCGAAACGGAACGATTCGCTTTGCAGCTGACTGTGAGGGACCCGACGAGATCCCATTTCGCACTCTCCTGCCGGAGGGTGGCGGTCTGCTCTGTGAGGTGCGTGACCTGCGCCCTGGCCTGTTCCAGCTTGGTCCTTAGCATTGGAGAGCGACTTCTTGAAAGGGTGCGTGGTTTGTGGCCCCTTCAGAGAGGAAGTTCATCTCTACATATGTACTTTGGCATACATAAGACATGTATATATATATATAAACATGTGTGTGTGTCGGTATATACATATATACACACAATTCACATGTCTGTGTGCGTGTGTGCGGATTCCTGAAGGGCACCTTGTGAAGCACAAAAGCCACGCCGATCGGCACCAGTTGGTAGGCGGTTCATCCCAGTAAGCAGGGGCAGTTTTGTCTCGAAACTTCCGTGTTGTGTGTATGCACTTTCCCTTTTCCGTGTACTCTTTCGAGTGGAACCTTCTGATCGAGATGGGCCACCACCAGTACAGTAACCAGTTCTTTTGCTTGCCGCTAAAATGGTCCAAACCCAGAAAGTGATTAAAGTCCAGTTCGACTCAGAAGGAGTAATTCTTGGCAACCAACTTGTTCTTCAACAAAGGTTCAAGCAATAAGGCTGCCCAGTGACCCTGGTAGAAAAGCATTGACCCTTCTGGGAAAGTGTCTTCGACAAGTTTCAGGAAGTTGCTGAAAACATATTCTCCACCTAGGATGAAACATGTGAATTGAAATGCCCGCTTGTTGCCAACCGCCGATCCCAGAGGAAACACGTTGAGTTTGCACAAAGGTCGTTTTTCCCACCCACCAACAACATGTCAGCACTATTGAGGATTTTCCCCAACCCTGATATAACGCTGTTGTCGAAAGACTTGTGCCAGCCTTGCGAGTCGTTCGCGGAATCATGGTCAACATTGCTTTCAAAAAAGCGGGTCATGATAGGACTGCACTACAAAAAGGCCGTAAGTTGTTCCGATAGAGAGTTATAGGGCAGTGTTAACATCGTGTTTAGGAATCACATACGATACCCCCTTGATGGTGTGGACAACAACTTGTTGTTCAGGCCCTTTCAATAACGAACGTTTTGCTGAGGCGAAAACGCGATGCTATAGCATCCTATGAGCTGGGGAAGCGCTTTCACAGTCTTGGAAACAAAGAGTCAGATGCGCAGGGTTTTGCATGACAATACTGAAATTGCATGATTTCAACCGACAACCCTTGTGGGGGTGGCGGGACAGCCGGTCACCTGGTTTCTCTTGTGCAATAAATATCTCCTTCTCATTTGCCCGTCTCCAGAAGCCAGGCAGCTATCAAACATGGCAAAACATGTTTCAAGAGAACCACCCATTTTGTGGCTTTTGAGACAGGCCCAGGTATTGCTAAATATCACTTGTTTCAAGGTACCGGCTTTCAGCTGGCGCCTTCCGGGGCGCTGGCCCGAGCTTCTCCACATCCTCCTGGCGGTCTGCACCTCAAGAGCTAAGAGCTGACCGCTTTGCCCTGGTTTGGAGTGTGGCTAGGTGCTTGGGGGGTCCCATTTATCTTCAAGAGCCACGGGTTCAAACCCCAAATCACCAACCCAGGGGTTGCTGAAGGCTGAAGCATGCAATCTTGTGGTTTCTTGGGTGTCTCCAGGTTTCTCTTCAAAGACCCCTAAGGGATATCTGATTGCAGGGAAAAAGGGCCCAGTCCGGACCCAGAAATACCGGAAATACAAGGTTACATGCAACCTTTTCGACCCATGACTAAACATAGACCAACTCTGGAAAACCAACAGGGGAAAAGGCTAATTCGCTTTGGGTAACTAAGGTTTTGAACATCACCACCAAGAGGAAACTCACTCTAAACCGGCCCAAAAGGTGATGTCTTAATCTAACAAACAAGTAGTGAAAGGACGCCGGTGGCCCAAACAAGCAGGCAAGTGCAAGTTACAGCTCGACTTGCTCCTCCGAAACCAATACTTTTGTTAACAAGCCTGTAAGGCAGTATGCATCCCTTCCAGTGGTAGAAAACCTCAATACAGCCAGAACCTACAGCTGAACATGCCCTCCACAGGAGCATGAGGTTGGATGATGTCTGTTTCGGTCGCACGGCGGATGTATTGAGATGGCCCCACCCCCGGCCGAGTATTGCTTTTTGCTTTCAGGCTAGGCCATGTATTGTGCGTTCGCATCTTCAGGATTTCATGGAGGCTTTTCAGAGACCTCCATGTGTAAAGAGGTCTAGTGCCAAGTGGCCCCTTCGGTCTCCGCTCGGATCTCCGGAAAAGAAGGGTAACTTTCCCGCCCGCACTGCAACAATCTGACGCCCCTTCAGACGGCACCCTGCCCAAGGAAAACTCACACAAAAATCGACACAAGGGTGATGCTTGAGCGCACTGGATCTTCCAACAAAACAAGCACGGAGACAAAATGGTGATGTTTGGGTGAGTTTCCGTTTAGCCGTTGGCCCAAATGGCGATCCTTAAAACCGCCATGGGAAATATGAGTCTGTCTCATTTTGAGGGTACTCCAATTTGCTTTTTGTTCAAACGGGAACCAAGAGACAACTGAAGCCATTTTGAGGGCTCCGATTCCTAAAACAACACGCACCCAGAAGAATCCTTGTCTGATTTACCTTCCGAGCGGCTCTTGATGCCGGTGGTGGACATTTCTTTGTCGCAGAAGGCCTGGAGAGCCCGATGGTTTGCGGCTTCGGATCTTGGGGAGGCTTCTTGGTTTGGCGAAGCAAGATGAACCGGGGGTTCAACCACAACCAATGTAAGCCCCGGTCTCCCAAAGTCAGCTTTTGGAACCTTGAAACAAAGTGGACTAAATCAGGGAAACCAAAAGGCCCAAGCAAAGGCCGATTTTGCTTTGGGCAAAGCCACTGGGGACCTGAGAGGACCTGAGGGGACCTGAGGCAACCTGAGGAGACCGGAGGGGGACCTGAGGAGCCTGAGAGGCCTGAGGGACGGATTTGAGGGGACCTGAAGGGCCTGTGAGGGGACCTGACAGGGCCTAAGAGCACTTGACAGGACCTCAGAAGAGACGAAAAAACTCATTTCCGGGGAAAGCGCCCCTAGACAAAGACAAACCTATCTTTCCATCAGATTACCCTTGGTTTGGATTGGTGGCTAGGTGCCATTTGATCGAAAAATTGACCAAGGAAACGAACTAGTCAAAAGGTCGCTCTGCTTGGGGCAGCCGGGAGGGACACGGCCATTTCGGGTCAAAGCGAGCCTATGGCATTCGAGTTTGTCTCAACCGAGTCATCGGACTGCTCAAATTGGGTTCGGTTTCAGTTGATTTCCCTTTAAACCAACCTGAGTTCTAGACAACGGTTTGGATTCGGATTTTTTTCCGGATTTCACCTGTTCTTCCCCGGGTTCTTGTGCTTGTGGTTAGTAATTGTTTGGTACTCGATTACATTGGACGCCCTTTTTTGCTTGGCTGACTCTTGCAAAGGTTGGTTTGGGGGAGGGTGACTGGAGATCTCCATTTTATGGCAACCCATGTTCCCTTCAAACCAACCCCGGCCGGTGGGTTCAAACCAACCCAATCGAACGCCGACAAGCCCACCTTGTCTGGTTGAAAGTTGGCGGCTTCCGGGCACTCACTTGTCAACAAAGCAAGGGTACGCAGAAGACACCCTCCCCGCCAATTGATGGAACCTGTCGTGCGGGCGTCTGGTTTGGACCATTTTCCTTTTAAAGGGACCCCGGTCAGGGTCTATGTTGATTAGTGGGGGGGATATGTTCAGATTCTGTTTCATGTTGGGTCTGATGGTTTTGAGGATAGTACCCTTTCTGGGGTTGGCTTAAAGGGTAGCCAAAAGGAACAACTGTATTCTGGGTGGCCTGCTAACAAAAGACACACCCAGCCTGCCCTTTGAAGGACCGGAGATCAAGGGAAGCCTTCCCAACCCCAGTTTGGTGACCTGCTGCCTGAGAGCAGACCTGTGTTCGTATCTCACTCGCAAGCCTTGCAAAGTCGCAAAAGTCAGGCAAAATCAACCCCCCTCTTTCACCCTCTCATTCTCAGTTCTCTCACCCTCTCACTTTCCCACTCTCTTTCTCTCTCTCTCTCTCTCTGTCTCTCCGGCCCCTAAATCTTGGGGCACATCTAGTGTGCACAAAAAACAACCTCGTCCGACGTTCCACATTTTGCCCCGAAAACATGAGCTAGTTAAATCGGAGCGCCGAAAAATCACAGGTGAGGTCGGTGCCTCTGCCGCCCGCCTGGTGATCCGCCTCTGCAGCCGCCTGCGACTGCATGCTGGCCTCGCACGAGAGGAATCGGGGGAGCTTAAAGCATACACTTAAAAACCGCCTGCTGATCCTGTGTCAGGTGGTAGGGGTGAATTGATGACAAAAAAACAATGTAGGGGAAACACTTGCTAAATCTGGGCCCGAATTGTATTTTTCGAATGCCCAAGTGAAGCAATCTGAAAACCCCGCCTCATTTGTCAAAAGGACCATGGGAGGCCAATCTTTTGCAACCCGGGCTCGAAAAGAACACATGTAAGGGCGTGTTTACATCAAGGTGAAATGCGCCTCTGGCACATAGGCGACCTTTTGGCAAAATAGATGGCCCTGGAAAATGGGCAATGAAACAAATCTAAGCCAGTGGAACCCATCTATTTCTACCCAAACTAAGCGATCAAAAGGACACCTAACAGAACCGACTAGAAAGCAAACCAAACCTGGTTCCTTCGAACCCGAGCGCGGATCCTTTGCCAATATCCCTTGACCCGGTTGCAACCAGCAACCCAGGTTGGCCATCGGGGAACCCACCAACAGGGGAATAGCGTGAAGCACTACACTGGATCAGGCAAAGGGCTTTCATGTTCGGCTGGTTAAACCCCTGGGGCCATGGGTATGGAGCAAAAAAGGGAAAACCGAAAGGTCAAAAGGTCGTGCTTTGGAAAAGTGAGAGGGAGAACTGCATCGCCAAGAAGCCCGCCCCCCCCCCCTCTGGAGCTTCCAGCAATCATGCCCTCAATGAGTCCTTGCCGGTTGCAGGCAACGCCACATTTCCACCGCTTCAAAACACCACGTTGGTATGTGTCAAAGTAGGAGGCTCCGCAAAATGGAGGATTTCCTTTTTGCTTCCCGTTGAAACAAACTAAAGAAGGGTACCCTCAATGGTGTGTGTATGTCATGTGTGTGTGTGTGTTCGAGTTGGCACCCTCCCGCCGTTTTAAGGGAAAACAGTGGGAAAACCACCCTTGATGAGGTCCAAATCCAGTCATTCAACACATACCAATATTGTCACCTTGCCCGAAGCTCGTAGCTCGGATAGGTAGGAGCTGAGATCGCTTCTTGGCGAGTTCGCACATAGTGGCACCAACAAGTGGGTCGGTGAAAAGCCCCAAAAGAACCTGGAGGAGAGATTTGGGATTTGTTTCAGCACCATCTACATCTCAGTTGCCCAAAGGAGCTGGACACCTTTTGGACCTTCTGGGCAAATCAGCCCACTCTCGCCCCTATGCTGGTCAGGGGGAAAAAGCGCAAGGACGTGTTGGCCCAGTGTACCCTTCCTGTGTCCATCATGAGTCATGAGTGCCTCCACGTGGGTTGTTGCAGGGGCATGGGTACTTGATCCCTTGGATACGAATCAATCGCTTGCTGCATGCGTGCGGGCTCCAAAAGAGTTACATAGTGACAACAACTCACAGATAGTAAGGCAACACCTTGGTGGTTTGGAATAGTGGTTTTAGGGGTTTGAGCAAATGGGGAAGGCACACTGCAACATCCAAACCATCAAACCAAGCCACCAATTTGGGGTAAGGTGAGACTGAGGAAAAAAGGAATCACCCCAAACAAAAACTGGTCCCGTTCAGTCAGCTGGCTATTCTCGCTTTCTCAATGGATTGGTGCCACCGTCCGAAGCTTGTTGTTTCCTACTTAAAGAACAAAATGATAGAGCTTGCTTAACCGAGTGGCCCAAGAAAGCCCAGAAATCAAAGGTGACCACTTGAGTTAATATTTTTTTAGGGAGTAGCAAACCGTGATCCCACTGGGTCCAGAGCTACATCCTCAAATTCATCCGTCTTCTACGGCGGTCCTGACAGGGATCCCCAAGAGTAATCTGAAGAAACGTTCAACATGTTTCCCCCCTTTTCTTTCAAGAGCCTTGGCATCCGCGGGCCTAGGTCCAGGCAAGGCGACCTTGAACTTTGACAGCTGGGAAAAAAGATAAGCTGGCCATAGAAAACAGTATGGAATCCCTGAAGCCCCAAGCATGAACTGGCAAAACAACCATGAACCAAAAGCATTTGGCCCATAGGACCTGGCATCTCGAAACCCAGTCCTCTCACCTTCCGCAAGGGATCATCACCTTGCTGGCTTGGCCATCCAAAGGGCAAATGTTGACCCCGACGAAGGCAAAACGCCAATGGCAGGGTGCCTTGTAAATGGTTGCCGGTTTTGTTCCGGATGCAGTAGCTGGATGGAAGATGCCAATGGCACAAGATGTCACGTGTCTTGCGGCACGACCGCCAAATTCAGCAGTCACCCCTTTCGAAATCCCGTTTGGCAAAATCCCATCACCAACTACTAGCTGTCGGGAGTGCGCATGGCAAACATCAGCACAGCAACACATGCTATTGGCTTTTCACGCTTACTTGGCAGTGGTGGACGATGCAAAAACAAAAACACACGCCATTGTTTTCCTTTTCTCATCACTGACCAGTACAAAAAGATGATACACCAACGTGCCAATGATAGTTCGTATGACGTCTGATAAACGGACACCTGATGAGCACTCAAAGGCAAACAGCAACACAAAAGGAGCCGGCACAGTGGTGGCATCAGCAGGAGACTTCTGCGAAGTGCAAACTCCTCTTGCGAAATGCACGAAGGAGCTTCCAAGAAGGCAAAACCGGCCCCTCAGAAGGCTCAACATAGAAGTGCACAAGGACCCCTTCCAAACATAAAACACTTCCAAAGGGGCCCTGTAGTTCCATGTTGGTTGCTGGGAGGTGCAACAAGGTAGTCAGCGCATACGCGGAATTAGCGCAGAAGCCTTGTACAGCTCCCGCAAAGTTTCTTAGGGTCGGTGAAGGGATACGTTGACGGTCAATAGACAAACGCGTAATCAAACATGCCAAGGAACGGTAAAGCAGCTCGGCGGGAACAAATTTGCGTGTGTCTTAAAAATTAGGAGAACCCTGAAAGAGCAACCCAAAACCTGGCTTCCTCTCAACAACAGCCACACCCTCGTATGTCGGGCATCGCTTACACGTGTGATCAAGCACTGTTGCTCTGGGTTTGTCTCAAACACGGGAAGCCGCATGTTCGTGTCGATTCGCTCAAGCACTCCGAGTCTCCGACGCCCCAGTCGATGGGAGGCCGCGAAGTCGAGTCGGCCAGCCAGCTCGATCAACCTCCAGCCCCCCAGAACGGCGCCCCCAATCCTGCAAATTTTGACAGGGACTTCCACAAGACGCAGTTTCAATGGAACTCACCGGTAAGTTGCAACTTTTGAAGGAAAATGCAGTGACCCCTCTTAGACCCCTGCTAAAAGTGAACTGAAATTGACAAAAAAAGGAAAAGCAGAAAGAGCCAGTTTGGCCATGACTTTTGAGAATCCGGCGCATGCAGGTGTCACTGAATTTCCTCCTCCAAACGTTAATCAACCTACCCGCGGGTTTGAATGACACTTCCACTCTTGGCGGCCTACGCTTGTCAGATTGCTCACTCTTGAAATGGTAGTTTCCTGATACATGGCCAAGCTGTATCTCTTCAGCGGCCTTGATGTGTAAACTGTGTAACCCCTCTTTGTTGCAACACATCATCCACTCTCTCACCAATAAACATTGAAGTGCACAAGCACCTCTTGGAAGACCAGTTCTTCGGGGGGACCCTCCTGCTGTTAGCCTACTCACACCGAGGAGTGGGCCGGCGTGGTTTACAACTAGATTCCCGCCCTAGGGCCAGCCCAGTGAACCGCCCTACCCCCAGACCTCCCAAGACAAGGTTATTCAAACCGTGGGTTTAAGCCGTTTTCCCAGATTCCGTGAACTTCCATGAGCAAAACACATTGGCACCTTTTTCTGGGTAATAAATTAGTCCAATCTGTTTTCAAGGTGTTTCTCGGCACCAACCCACCCCCCGGGTGTGTGCGTTAAACGTCCAGCGCGAGCCAAGCGCTTTCCAAGAAACGCCGGGGAGTCCAGGCGCACTGCGAGACGCCTGGTCGACTTCTCAAACGGCGGGAAGGCGACTCGGTCAAAGCACCAGTCAACAAATGGGATACCCTTACTCCCGCAACCGCCATAGCACCTAACTGGGACATGGTGCCAGGTGCTATGTTTGCGGAGAAGAAATGGGTAGTGCAACCACCATTGTCTAAGGAGGTAGGGGCTTCCTTCATGCTTGATTGCTGTTGACCCCTCTGCAAAAAGTTAAACCTTTTTGTGAGTTCAATGGAGGTTTCGGCCCTAATTGTTGTTGTTTTCAAGGGTTCCTGCAGTCCTGGTCCTTGTGGATCTACCTACCTGCGACATCAGACTGCGCGTAAAAAAGGAATTCACAATAAAACTTGGGTCCAAGAAGGAAGTTTGAGGGTTCAGGAAAGGTATAAATTGGGTCCTTGCCATTCGGCTCATGGGAATAAACCAGAAAAGGTCGATTTGCTGTGGGCAACTGAGAACCCCCCGCCTCTCATCTCCAAGCAGGCTACCAGGTTCAAGCGGATGGGAAGGTAGGAAAAACGTTCTGGCACTCAGGTTAACCTTTGGCAGGTTGATTTCCGCCAGCCTCGAGACTGCCAAAGTCATACAGAGTTGGCATCTTGGTGCGACCAGTGAGTCGAGGAATGGGCACTTGAACGCTGTCGAGCCGCCCGGCATTCCACCCAAGCCACAAAGGGCTCGTGAGGATTCAATAACCCGAATCCTCCTATCGGATTCTTCCGGCTTTTCTTGACCTCCTGCAGAGGAGTCAGATCCTTCTCTCACTTGCCGAGGGTCTCCACCGTCATCTTCTCGCAAAATGCAATCTTGCGTCCGAGGGAATGGCCTCCGTGGGCGGCAACCTTACGCAACAGGATGACGGGGGCGCACTGAATTGTCCGCCGTGTTCCTTCGGCCCCACCCACTTCAAACTGGAATTTGGGGAGGGGGGTGATCTCTCGAATTCCATGTTTGGTTCCATTTTCCCATATCTGACAAGACTAGAAACATGGAATTGGTAGTCCCCTGCCCCCCTCCCCCTGGGGAATATTTTGCCTGGGCTTGTCTTTTTGAGTGTGCCCTTTTTGGGCCCTAGGGAAGCCAAAGGGAAAACCGACGCCATTCTTGAAAACCCATTGCTTTGCTGGGTGTGGGCTTGAAACGCGAAGGGTTCTTCCGCTGGGTTCACTTGAGTTGTTCTCATGAGAGTCATTACCAGGTGTCATTGCAAGGAATCAGCATCATGAAAGTCATTGCAAGGAGTCATTGCAAGGAGTCATTGCAAGGAATCATCATCATGAAAGTCATTGCAAGGAGTCATTGCAAGGAGTCATTGAGGAGTCATTGCAAGGAGTCATTGCAAGGAGTCATTGCAAGGAGTCATTGCAAGGAGTCATGGCAAGGAGTCATTGCAAGGAGTCATGGCAAGGAGTCATGGCAAGGAGTCATTGCAAGGAGTCATTGCAAGGAGTCATTGCAAGGAGTGCATTGCAAGGAGTCATGGCAAGGAGTCATTGCAAGGAGTCATTGCAAGGAGTCATTGCAAGGAGTCATTGCAAGGAGTCATTGCAAGGAGTCATTGCAAGGAGTCATGGCAAGGATTGCAACTTGCACTTGACTCCTTGCAATTGCAACTTGCACTTGACTCCATGCACTTGCAACTTGCACTTGGCTCCATGCACTTGCAACTTGCACTTGGCTCCATGCACTTGGCTCCTTGCACTTGCAACTTGCACTTAACTCCGTGCACTTGCGACTTGCACTTGACTCCATGAACTTGGCTCCTTGCAACTTGCAATGGCTCTCATGACTCCTCGCAATGACTCCTTGCAATGACTCCTTGCAATGACTCCTTGCAATGACTCCTTGCAATGACTCCTTGCCATGACTCCTTGCAATGACTCCTTGAAACAAGCAAGGAGTCAAGTGCAAGTTGCAAGTGCAAGGAGTCAAGTGCAATTGACTTGCGAGGAGTTAAAATCTCTTCTTAGGGCGGCGGGGTAGTGCCGACGACACTACACGAAAATCGACCCTCTGCGGGGATCGGCGTGGTCGAGGTGCAAAAACCCATGGTTTTTTGCGATTTCTGCGGTGCTCGCGCGACCCTCTGCGGGGATCGGCGTGGTCGAGGTGCCAAAACCCATGGTTGTTTGCGATTTCTAAAGTTCCCGCGCGACCCTCTGCGGGGATCGGCGTGGTCGAGGTGCAAAAACCATGGTTTTTTGCGATTTCTAAAGTTCCCGCGCGACCCTCTGCGGGGATCGGCGTGGTCGAGGTGCAAAAACCCATGGTTTTTTGCGATTTCTGCGGTGCTCGCGCGACCCTCTGCGGGGATCGGCGTGGTCGAGGTGCAAAAACTCATGGTTTTTTGCGATTTCTGCGGTGCTCGCGCGACCCTCTGCGGGGATCGGCGTGGTCGAGGTGCAAAAACCCATGGTTTTTTGCGATTTCTGCGGTGCCCGCGCAACCCTCTGCGGGGATCGGCGTGGTCGAGGTGCAAAAACTCGAGGTTTTTTGCGACTTTTGTTGTTCGAACTGGTCCTCGGGAGTTGTCTCGTGGTTCGCGCGCCTGCTCCCGGAACCGGCGGGTCGCGGGTTCGATTCCTCCCTGGTCCGCGGGCGGGCGTCGCAAGATGCAACTTGCATTTTAAAGCAACTTGCGCAGAGCAACTTGCGCAGAGCAAGTTGCACAGAGCAACTTGCGCAGACCAACTTGCACCGACCAGTTTGCGCAGAGCGCCTTGCCTAGAGCAACTTGCGCAGAGCAACTTGCGCAGAGCAACTTGCAGAGCAACTTGCACAGAGCAACTTGCACAGAGCACCTTGCCTGGTGCTGTCTCGCGCTTGCTTCACGAATGCTTCGTGTAGGGAAAAAGAACGCATCCTGCAGCGTTGGGCCGACCTCGCTTGCGATGTTCTGCTTTCGGGCCAACCGTGGTCTAGTGTTTGCTGTGGGTGGACAAAATTCATTTACCCCTACTAACTGTACTGAGATAAACCACCAATCCCAACTGGTTCGACATTTGATTTTGTCCATCCACTGCATTTTAACACACATTGCATTGAAAGGAAGTCAGAATTCAGAACCGCCGTTTTTTTCCCTTACCTGGGGCCCCCCTGGCGTGATAATTTCAACACCAAGGCAAAAAAACATGTTTTTTTGCCCTTGGTCGGTTTATTTATGCTCCAGCACGGATTTTTACACTCTTTGTCGATCTCGAACGGTTCCGAACGCTCTCGAACGGTTCTTGTATACAATAGCATGTTTGGTTTGCGTATATATATATGCATATATGTAGTTGCATAAATATCTCAACTCCTCGCTGCCTTTTGCGCCTCTAGCAATGCATCACGCGTCCAAGCACCAAACAGACATTAATTGCACCCTGTACCTTTCCAACGCACGTCGCGCTTGAAGACGTGGAGAGACTGACCGAGCTACACGACAAAGACGTCCTATGAAGTCTTCATCTAAAGGGCAAGCTTCCGTTAGGACATTATATGTCCATGCGGCTATGGAAGCCTGTCTTTTCATTTGACACACTGATTCATGCAAAGCGTGCAGCTTGGGCATGAGCTGAAACATGTTCTGGTTCTTGCCCAAACTCAAAAACGCGCAGTATGAGTAGCATTTCACAAAGTGCTCACCGGCATGGGCGATACTGGTAGCTTGCTGCGATTTAATCCAACAACCTTCTTCATGGAGAGCGCGCGTGAAGTTGTTGATGCCGCGGGTGCCACTCGCCTTGGCAGCTTCAAACCACAGCCAGCAAGTTGCATATTTAAGTGTTACAACTCAAAACCGTTTGCGCAGGTCACTGTGTTTGGCAAACCCCGAAACAGAAGCCCACCAAACCCCACACATTCCACGCCGGAAGGCAATGTACTGCAATCTCTCATCCAAGTGGATCTTATCAGCATGACGTCCCAGGAAATCCTCCATCCACAGCAAGAGCGTAGTCGTTAAGGACCCCTTGTTCCACATACCTTGAGGCTCCTGGTCCCCACTGATGTTGAACATTTCAGGGGTCAGCTTGTTGACGTAGGGGCTCTTCCGCTCACGCGTGCAATACTCGCGGAAGTCTGCAGTGAGGCGCGCAAACCGCTGCTCCACGGACCCTTTGCCAAGGCAGTGACGTTGGATGATGCTGACGGATGCGGCGCACCAAGTCTTTCCAATTCCCATCGCAATTGTGTGCCAAATGTCTAATTTGAAAAACTGTGATTTGCCATTGGCGCAGCGGTCAACAAACAACTTCTGAACAAAGCACGGTTCATCCTGCCAAGGCGGGGGGATAGCGTGAGCCCGCGCGTACTTCATGCAGTTTTCCGCAGCAGTGCTGAGACGCCAACGCGTGATTGTGCAAAGCAATGCTGTTTAGGCGGCCCTGCACTGGTTTTGCCAAGTAAAGCAAATAAGAACGAAGCCATGTTAAAGACAAAGGCGAAGTTTCAAATCCTCCCAGTCGCAAGAACCTGCGCTTCCGCACATGCACAAGTGGCATATACCTGGAGCGTTTGTGCGCTCAGCAGCAGCCTTTGGCGCGCGTCTGTAGGACCTTTCCAAATTCCCCGCGGAAACCTTAGCTGCGATAGAAACAACTTCAAAGCGAAGCGTGCAACACACTGAAGCGTTTATACATATACAGGGTTGGAATGGCTGCCGAAAGAGGCCTGACTAAACATATATAATGAAATCTAACGCATATATGTATACATAGTATGCGTGCTGGCCAGGAGCCAAGTAGGACCAGTCCCCTTTCAATCCCAGGATGATTGGGTACCAGCGTGTCCCTCCAAGAAGCACACCTTCACGCTGCGCGTTCGCCAGGTCCTCTGTCACTAGGTCATGGAGGCCACGCCAAACATCGCGGTCATCACAGTAGAGATCCTACAGCAGATTTGTATTGACTATAAACAAGATCACTGCATGCGTACGAATACAAGTAAAAATACTTATAAGACGCGCCATAGCTTTGATACACACAAGACATTTCCCTCATCTCAAAAAACAAAACCGACAATGTGGTAAAGACATATATGTACAGCGTGGGTGTGTAATTTTCAACTTTCAAACGTTGGTCCCTCGGGGCGATGATTGACAAAAACCGTGTCTGCAGAGCTGTGCGAAGAAAGTTCAGCGGGATCCCACTTGCGTGCAGCTCGTTCTCCCAGAACTCGCTTGGAGTAGCTTTCCGGGTTCCATGGCCGAGGGCCGATTGAAAGCTAATCACAAGTAGTCCTCCCCGTTTGAAATTCACACCCTCGTCCCCGTGAATATACAGGGGGATGCAGCGCTTGAGGTCGATTTCCTGCGGGCGGCACGGTATCGTTTTGGTTGCCAAGAATGAAAGGGTTATACTTGGGCAAGAAAAACTTGTATATACAAAAAAGGCTTGATTGCTAGCTCACTTGTCCTGCTGCTCTGCTTTTTCAATAACTTCATGTTCAGGATGCACGGCTTTGAACCTATCCCACCATTCCTCAAGTAGAGAGGTTACTACCGCAGGGTCTTTCAACCCTCCAAAGCAACGATGAAGGTCCCCTTGATTGCTCATGCAGCGTAGGAAGTCCGAAGGCTTGATCCACGGGAAATTTCCAATCGGCCCCACATTGGTGTAGGTGATTGGCACCGGGTAGTGCATGCCGTGCCGGATGAAGGTGGAAGACACCCCGTTTTCCTGAGAGTAGGCGGGCCAGAACAAAACGGTATAATTCTGGAAGGAAAAACCAACTATATGCAAGTACCCCTTTGAGTTTCAAGATGATATTATGTGCGCTCAGTGTCAGAATCCCTCTCGTTGCACTGGCTAAGGTCCCGTAGCACTGGGCATAAGGGAAAGTTCGCGCCGTCCCGCCGCATTTGCAGCATGTCATGCCAATCAGCTGTCGCTGTGCGGATGACGTCCCTGCAAGATTCCTGGGATGGCGGAACAACACACGCACACAGTGCCAAACATTGAAGAACACACAGAGCAGAACATTTCAGTTGCCTGACAAACCTGACTAGCTGATGGCACGCCACACCGCGGCTGTAGCTCCAAGCAAGGCGCTTGGCTTTCCGGGATGGGCCTGGCGCGAGGTAGCCCGCTGACTGGACTTTTCTTGTTTTCTTGAAACGGTGAGCATGCAATTTGAAAGCCATGCAGTGGCACATGGGAAATGCGTCGGCGTCGATCTATTTTCCTTTCCGCACCCCTTGCAGCTGTTAGCATGGCTTCTCCCCTAAAAGCTGCACTGAGTGTCATGGGTTGTGATCCTAGCCCACGAGCACTCAATGTTAGTTTGAGCACTGCCCTTGCATGGTTGCTCATGCGCATCGCTGCATGCAGATTTTACTGTATATACTCTTGGCAATTCAAAGAATTGTGAAGCACGCCAAAGTGAATGTAGGCTTCCCCCAACAGGAAACACACCATTTTGCATTTGCAGGAAAATCAACACGTTACCTCATTCCGGCGTGCACTCAGGCTGCGTTGTTGCCCTTCGAGCTGCGCTTCCTACGCTTCGACTTGTCAGCAGCGGGCTCAGACTCAGCTGCCGGCTTGCTGGCGCCAGAGCCCTGACGTTTTTTCTGTTTGGAGTCTTTGCCTCCCTTCTTGGGCTTTGTAGTCTTTTGCTTCTCCTTTTGCCCTTTGCTACGTTTGGGCGGCTTGCTGCCCTTCTTCACGGTGATGTTCTTCTTCAAAGACCTCATCACGTGTCAGGGACACGGCACGTGTCATGTTGCATGCGGCATCGACCCTACAGGGCCGCTGCTTGAACGTTGCTTCTAGGGACAGAAGTTCAGCACACCTCAGCGCAATTTGCAAATTCAACCACCATGAAAATCAAAACAATGTTTGAGAAGCTATATATATATATCATGGCTGTCTGCTGTGGGTAAAGTCAAGCTGCGGCCCCTTCACATTGTTCTTGTCGAGATCGATTTTTGCGCAAAGCCTTTGGCAGGCAAAGCCAACTTGGTTGAGCCACACCAGACAGTCACCAAACCCTTTTCCTTTTGTCAGCTCTGAATCACTGTGCGCCTAGGCGCTGCAAATGCATTGAGACTTTTGGTGCATTTTGGCGAAAAAGCCTATTGTCTCATAAGATGAGCGTTGCTTGGCCGCTTGAAGGACCTGTACACAAAGTAAACAAAATATGGGCCAGGTTGTGTTGCGCAAACAGTCTCGCCGCCATCGTGGGAGTTCTTGCAGCCGCTTTGACCTTAGCGCATGCCAGCAAGGATCTGGAACCATTTGCGTGCATATCCAGAATGGGGTACTTGCTGAAATCAATGAACATGATTTTACAAGTCAAGGAGCCAATGAACCGTTGAATCGTAGCCGCTTCCACGAACGAAGGGGAGATCGTTTCACTGGCAGCGTAGACAACTACCATGCCCTCCCACATTTCCCGCTCATGCGCGTACCCATATTTGGAGTTGTAGAACCGGAAATGAGGGCAGTGGGTGTACCCAATCTTGTACATTAGAGGCTGCCCTCGTTCTATCTCGCGCTCAAGCACTTGAAAAACATGTTTGAGTACTCGGCCAGGCAGAAGGTTCATCTTTGGGAAGTTGCAGCGAATACGAGAATCTCTTTCAATTTTCTGAAAGCACTCGTGCGTTCTCTTGAGAGTCAATATGTGGTCTGGCAGAAGTTGATGCCAATCTCCTCTGAGGCGTTCGCAGCCGGGAGCCGCACTTGGTGGACACTCTGCGCGGTTCTCCTGGACCAGGAGGAGCAGTGGTAGGGGCGGAGGGGAACCTCACGTGTACCTCCATTTGTGTGGGAAAATTTCTCATGCTTCCAGCAATAGAACTGGAACACTCCACTTGAAAACGAGGTAAATTTCTCTTCTTGTCAACCCGAGGGGACGTTTGGGAATGAGAGTCCGGCCTGCCGGTTGTATGCGATGAGCTCTTTAAGCCAGCTCGCATCGTCATCATCATCGCAGGCGCTATTAATGCTCATAGCAACGCAACGCCAAATTTACTATAATGGTCCAGGGCCTATTGAACACCCCCAGTCAAAGTGCCCGAGCCAAAAAAGCCTGCCTTCAATGCGCATGTTCGTTCAAGTGACCAGGCGTGCCCTACACAACATGTTTTTTGCCAAGAAACGCTTTGAAGCCCTCGTTGTTAGGGTCGATCTTGCCAGTGGGATAGTCCATTTTCACTGCCGTAAGATGGTGGGCCAATGCGCGGAAACAAGCGTCAAGCTTGTCCGACACGCCGCCCAGCTCCTTCGCAAGCCTCAGACGCAAGCTGTACTGTGGCAACATGTTTGTTTCTACATTGGGTTGCCAATAGAAACACTATGAGCTTCCCAAACACCACTCAGCTTAGGAGCCGAGTGTATTCATCCCGTGGCTCTGGTACACTTGGCCCCTCTAGAAGGGCAACCATGTCGCTGATGGTACGCCGCTTGTTCTGCAGGACTTCCATGAACTTTTCAAGCTCGGGACCAACCTGGGGATCAGAGCGTGGGAGCTCAGATGCGCAGTTGGGACCAGTGGCCGGTTGCAACCCTGCCTGTTCCCCAACGACTTCCGGGTTGGGTTCCTCATCCTTCTCGCTGGGCCAAACCACATCACCGTCCAAATCCTTTGTGTCCGGCTTCTCCGCAGAAACTTTGTCCTCGGGTTGAGTTCTCCCGCATGAACGTGTGTAGGTACAAGTTTGTCTTCTCCCTATATGGGCGCTTCCCCTATATAACTCGAAAGCAGCCGCAAAATCAAGGGAACCTTCATTTAAAAAAAACAGTGCGCCAAAGCAAGCACACTCGCAGTTTGAGGCCCCGTCATCCACTTCCGTGGTCTCACTCTGTTTGACGAGGTCGGTTCTCTTCAGGGTGCAGGAATGTGGATCTTCGACAAAGAATTCGTTCACTTTGGAATCATACTTCCATGGCCTCAAGCTTCAACGGTTGGCAAAACCCTGTATGTCCGTGACTGCACGCGCCTGACGAGGGTCTGCGGAAACTTCAAGCAAAAATTGCAGATCTTCTTGATTGCGTCCCTTGACGTGGCTTTGTGTGACTGGCAACGCAGACAGCACCATGGTCAAATGGCAGCCTATTGTGTTGCAATCAAGAAGCTTAGACCATTCGCCAAGGCTGGCCATTTTTTCCTGTGTGAGCCAGCGCCCATGGATTTCTTGCTCCTTTGAAAGCATACGCTCCCGCACAATCACAATACGGGTAATGAATTCAGCCTGCAGGGCAAGCAGCTTGCATCACAGGTTTGTGCAAACTGCTTTGGAGAAAACAACGAACCGTGCAATGCAGGATCGATGTGTTTTTTGTCAGTTTGGCCACGCCTTAACGCTTTTGTGGACTGTTCGGGCAGTTCCGTGTTTGCGGATAGCCTCCAACAGCGCAATCTCCAGCCACTCCCGGCGCTCCCCGCCAGACTTAAAGTCTTCGCGGACCGAGGCGTCCACATGGGATTTGCCTGATGGCTTCACCTCCACCAGCCTCCGCAGCCGCATCCTCAAAGCGTCAGCGCTGAGAACCTGAGCATGAGCGGAACAAGCAAAGCAAATGGTGTGTCACACACTGCGCGCTAGAGGTTGGTTTGCCGGGAAATAGAGGGCATGTAGAGTTCAAAAATCATGGTTCCTCCCAAGCGACCTTGACACCATCCGGCATCACAATGGTGTCATCATCTGGTTCTTCGTGACCAGCTGAGGCCCCGCCCTGCTCAATGCCTGGATTGGCTTTGGCAGGCCGGGAATTCACCGCGGTTGGGGGCAGCACCACGGCTTTGGCGTCAGGTGTCATCAGTCCCTGTGATTTCTGGGAGCGAGCTTGCTTTTCCAACATCTCGATCTTTGCCATGAGCATTTTGATTGTCTCAGCATCGCTTGAAGATGCTGGGGAAAGGGTCTCCTGCAAACAAGCTTGTGTGACATTGCACCGGCCCCGAAGGGTGAATTACAATGTCTTTTGAAGAGAAAGAAGCCTGTGAGACATTTTCAACCCTCGTCCTCTGGCGACTTCTCTCCTGACCTTGGACTTGCGGAAGCCGCACGAAGTTCTTGCGATTCCTAGGGCTGCAAGTAGTGCCGAGGCAGGCTTGAACCAGTTTACATGCATGTATATAATCAACCCCTGTGTATAGAACCATCAGTCAGAAAACTTGCTACCGAAGGTGCCGCCGGCACTGTCTCGGCATCGGACCGCGTCGTTTCAGCCTTAGAGGCAGTTTTCTTGGGACCGAGGGACCTTGAAAGGCATATATATGGAACCCGAACCAAAGGCAACCAGGAGACTTCCAATCCAGGCTCTTTCTTGACTTGCTTCAGCGGCCGCTCAGCTAGCAATTCATTGGCTTCCTGTTGTCAACAAGGTGCAAAAGGCATCAACAGAAGTCAGGTCATTTGATGCAACGAGTTCCTAGCCTTGAGCATGGCTTTCAAAGACTCTTTGTCCATCTTGGCCAAGTCAACTCCACTGAACTTGGCGCAGGCTTCAGCTCCGGTCTGCAAGCTGTCGCAGGACCAGGCACGGCTCTGAAGCGTTTGCGCTGACATGCGGTCGACCAACACACAAGCACCCGCCCTATCCGAAACTGCAGCCAAATGCTGTAGTGTGCAGCTGCTTGCAAAACCACAAAATTTCGACGTGCAATTCCAGTTTCCAGGCAAGGGTCACCTTTGTGTTTATATCACAAAATGCGAGCAAGGGCTTTCCAGGATACCCCCCCCCCTTTCAGAACAAAGGAACGTGGTTATGCCAGGGAAGTGCGTGGCCCTCCAAAACTACAGGTGTCCCAAAGCAGTGGTTTTAGACACAAGAAACAGCTTTCTGGGACACCCCCTTTTTTTGAAAACGAAAATGCAACACGGAGCCAATGGACATCCCTAGCAGTGTGTTTTGAGAACCCGAAAAAGGTTTCTATGTTGGACTGAGACCACACCATCGGACCAACATGGAGAACGGGACCAGGTTGGGGCAAGCTGTTGGGGTCAAACTGAAACTGGAGCAACCAGGAACAATTATAAAACAAACCGGGTGGTAACTTGAAATTCTCTTTCTCCGCTTCAAGTGGCCTGGTTTAAGTGCAAACTAACTGCTCGGCCGTGTTCAGGGCCACTTGTTAAAAACACATCTTGTGAAATACAATTGCCCTCCCTGGGTTTGGAATGATTTGGAATGGTTATATGATTTCCGGCTCCTTCACACCCCCTTTAAACACCCAAACCCTCGCACGTGCATGCAGCCGTTCTCTGAAAAAATCGCAGTTCCAAGGTACCCCCTCAACAGAATCCGATCGAAGAACTATATACACACAAATCCCCGCCCTTTGATCACAAGAATACAGGGTAATTACCAAGCCTTTTGGTCATATACCGTTATTGCTTTTACAGGCGGCAAGCCAAAAATGCATGTTCTAGCCCCAGAACGCTCTTCCTTGGGAGTGGGGTATATATTACTTCGGTGCTTTAATTGGTCTCATGCTTCAAAGGGAAACCCGAAACAAGCTTTCAACTGCGCCCAAAAAGTTCAGACAGCCGAACAGGCTGCACGAGAGCGTGGTCCTGCATTGTCTCTTCGGCACAAGGCCTGGGCCTATAGTGAGGCATTGCGACAGGACTCTTTTTTCGAAGCGGAAGTCGACATTTGAGGATTTGTGTGGCGCACTGTGTTTCTCGAAGCAAAACGGGACTGGACTGAGAAAACACGAAAAAAGCGGTATAAATTACGTTCAAATTGCGTTATATTGAACGCAACCCGAACGTAAAATGAATGCAATTTGAACGCAATTTGAACGTAATCCAGATACGGTTTCCGAATTTACGGATGTTTACACACTGCGAACGGTAATTTGCACACTGACAACCCGAAGATTTGCCCTGCACAAAGGGCCCCACAGTGCGCCCAAGCCGAGTTCGAAGGAACATACTCGCCTTTCGGCCAAACAATGATCCGAAAATGCGGCCAGCCGCGATTCTATGGTTCCGAATTGGCAAAGATCACCTCCACTTGCCCGACCTGGGGAATTTCATTGTTTTGTGGCGGGGGGGGGGGGGGGCGGGGCAAAGAATTGCGGTTTTCCTTTTTGCTTCGATCCCTGGTAAACCAAAAGAATGAAATAAACACACGGGTTTCCATGATATATAGTAGATTCCATTCAAAACAACCAGGGTCAAGTCTACATGAAACAAAGGCAGGGTTGACAGTCTCCCTTTTGTAGAGCTGTTTGACACTGCAGGTTGGCTTTGAGAAGGGTCCTTTCACCGCATGAGGAAACAACCATATACGCGCAAAATCCTGTCAAGGGGATGCTTCGCAACGTGTAATTTGGTTGAAACACTCAATGTAGAGCTCCTGATGGTCCAGGCCAAGCTGCGCGCGCGTGCCCGCATGTCTGTTCAAACTATATATGAACGGGACCTGATGTGTGCGCTGTTTTGAAGGCGTAGGAGGGGCACGCACGCACGCTTGGCCCCCACACGGTTGGACTTTATTGTAGGCTATCCCGTTTCCTACATAAAGTGGATTGAAGACTTCCCCCAAATGAAGGGCCAACCATTGCTTCAAACTTGTTCATCTCGACTAGGCACCGTGATATGTATTTGTGATCGTGTAACACCTCAAAGCGCTTGCGCAACAAGGGGGCTGCTGTTCAACTCAATTCTTGGAAAGTACCAACGCAAGGGTGTTGTGATCGAATTGGTTGTGAACACCTCGTGATGCGTTCACACTGCCCTGGGGAACGCTGCTCGCCACTCCTGTGGCAGAGCCAAGTACTTGTTACCGTAAAGGTAACGCAGCACTGGCCCTAACTCAGCCTCTTCCCATGTTCCCCACTCAGTCGCAGCAAGCATAGCAGCCGCTGACCCGCCGGCCAGGTTGGCTGGACGTCCGCCTCCCTGGGAGGCCAGCTGCGGCATGAGTTGCTTGATGCGCTTCCCGAAGAGCTTTGGGTAAACCCTCGGCAGGCAAGCAATCAAACCTTTTACAAAAACGACTTGAAATCATCAGTTGGCAAAGGGCTCTCATCTGTTTCAAGCAAAAGCTGGGTTTCCGGCTGCGTTCCCTTCAACGAAGCTGTCCCTTGATATCCCTGGCGGCCTGTTTTGGATGTATACCGGACCGTTGTTTTCAAAGTGCAGTTCTTCTTGTGGCAGGCTTTCAGGCGACCCAGGTTGACCTTGTCCACCCATTTGTTGTTGCTGTAGCCCTTATGCCGCTTTGCGCTTTTTGCCCCGTAGTGCGCCATCCACCACGCAGTCCGGAAAACCTGAGCACCCGCGGGAGCAGAGGCAGAAAAGCGTCAAGGCAAACAAGCAATTTGGTGAAGCAAGTGGTTTCAGTCCCAGGGTCTCGAAGTTGGGAGGCTAGGTATTTGAACCGCCCATATTCCGGCATCAAAGAACTCCCCGGCTGCTCCAAGAAGAATGTTCCGCCTCTGCAAACTATGAGGAATTTGCATAGAACGGTCCTCAGATGGTAGTTCGCTGGGCTTGTCGCTTTGATCGCTGTCAAAGGGTGTCAAAATCCAACTCGTTTTGAAGCCAGTTGCAAACCTTGCTAAATTGGCAATCAAGGCTCCGTGACGTCATGCAATTTGCTCGGCCTATATAACGTTTTGTGCAATCTCCCTCAGGCAACAACAGGCTGCGCCTGCTGGTGCCAGCATTGATTTGAACCCAACTACTGCACACCGTTGCTAGCAGCACGAAAAACTTATTCTCAGCCGCCGCTAGCAGCAGCCACACAATCAGCCTTGGCAACCCAAGGTTTGCGCATATCCAGAGCCATGAAAAAGAAACTATGCCCGCAGTACATTGAGGGTGTGTAGAAAGGAAGACTGAGCGCAACACGCCAGACCGGAAGAGGATAAAATGTCAAAGGGGTTCGAGTTGCCCCGCTCAACCTCAGGAAACTGCTTGGTGAACTCCAAGTCCACTGCCGCAGAGACATACTTGGTGTTTACCTCCTTAAAGACGTTTGCGCTCCCTGCAAATAGTTCAATGTAGCTCACCTGCGGCAAAATCCGCAAACCAGATCGCAAGGGGGGAAGCTTTTCAGTAGTAGCAAAATAGCGATGTCACGATCGGAACACCTGCCTCAGGCAAAACCGGGAGATTGCGGGAGAAGTGCACCAGCACAACGATCAGAATAAACGCCTGGACACGGCTCGCGTTTCTAGATGTAGCGTCCAAGTTTATGTAGACCAGAGCAAACCAGCACATCGCCCTGCCTTGGGAACCCGGAAGCTCAGCAGCCCCTTGACCAAATCGTCAATGTCAGCGGGCATGGCTTGTCTCGCTCTAACTTTATGCCGACCACAATGATGCCACACAATGCTAACTAAGCCCACTGTTGGTTTGCAGTCTTTCCGACCATTGCCGAGGGACATCATGCAATTGCACACAACCCTCCCAAACCGCAATGGTTGGGTGAAGGCTAATATGACATGTAATTGCAGACACACGAGCTTTGAGCATCCAAACTCTATCAGGTGCGCATGACGTTTGCTCATCCACTTGAAGCGCAAATGCAAGGTCTGCAAAACCCGTCTGCCAGTGCAAGTAATTTCAATAGGGCTTGGGTGCTCTAAGAGGCATGTGCAACATTGTAACCCAAGCCGGCTTGGCGATCCAAATAGTTGTGACGACCTCCTCTTCTGCCCGCAGGGCCCGCGCGCCACCGTGGAAGAACCATTTGAGTCACCCCTGGCGCGTGGAGGGACGGGTCGGCCCAAGCTTTTTGTTGTTGTTTGCCTACGTGATAACTCAATCTTGCCGCCTGCCGCACGCAACAGCAGGGTGTGCGTATGTGCGCAGCTTATGGCACCCTTTGTCCGCCCCCGGATGTTTGCGTATACCCCAGCACTGGTTCAGAGGTTGCCCTGCGACAACCGTGCATCTAAGACTATATACAGGAAGTGAGACTCCCTGAGAAAAGCGCCCAATGTGCACTGTGCACATGGGGATCGACCATGCGCGTCGCTCCGGCACAATCAAACATGTGTGTTTAAAGGTATAGTTTTATTTTTTGATAACAAGTTGTTGAAGTGTTGGCACAGAGCCGCTCACAGGAACAAGTTTACACTCATCAGCCCCTCAAGGCTTTTTGGCTTTCTGAGGGATGCCTAGCTCAGACAAAGCAGCGGTTCGAGAGGCTTTGATGATTTTGCACAGCTCCTTCAGCTTGCCAGGCTCCGGATGCTCGCCGTGGGTCTTCAGGACGTCGACCTGAGATCGCGAGGCGAAGCAGGGATCCAGGGATCTGGGGTCTTTAAACCACATTGCCCCTGCTAGCCCTGCAACCCAACAAGAAATTGCAAGTGTAAACGTAAGACGAAGACCCACTTTTCAGCGAGGGCAATGTTGACGCATGTGCAGGGTCCACCGGCAAAGTAGGCCACCTGCTTGAACAAAAGCTTCTTGCCATTTTTCTTGCTTTGCTTGTACTTTGCCTTCCCGAGCAAGTCGGTTCTCACCTTGACACCCACGGCCTGGCGCGTCCAGTAGATAGACCACTGGTAGCAATCAGCAAGCGCAGCAGGTTCACAGCCTTCACAGTTACCGGTCCCGTTTTGTCGGTTGCACTTCTCCAGGGTTTCCTTTGCCAGGAGTGTGAGGCTGCTGTCCGGCTGTGGCTTTGGAGTGTTCCTCTTCCTGCTGTTCTTAGGCTTTTGCTGCACTGCCTCAGGGCACTTGCCTGTGTTCCCGCCTTTGCCTTCCTGCTTGACTTTCCGGTTGGCGCGCGCCTTCTTTGGGGCCTGGTTTGGAAGCTGCTCATCCTCATCCGCAGTGACCATTGGATGCTTTGGGCCGCTCCCAGAGCTTGAAGATCTGTGGGCTGCCGTGCTGCTGCGGAGTGGTTGGGCAGCTTTGGTCTTGGCCAACTTGGCTTTGGCCAATTTGGCTCTGGCCAACTTGAGCCCTTTGGCAAACCGCATGGATCTGCGAAGCCGTCGGGACAAGTGCTGCCTGGAGGCGCTAGTTGCAACAGCCCTCGTCTTGCTGCGGCGGCGCTTGGATGTCCCTTTGTTCTTGGTGCGTTTCTGTTCTGCTGGGTCAGGTGTGCCTGTGCGAGGGCGCTTCTGCTGGCGGCCGTTGCCCTTGTCCTGCGTCCCCTGGTCTGACGCCTTTTTGGCCCTGCCCCTTTTGCCTGAGCTGGCTTGAGCTGCGCATGCGGGGTCTTCTTTTTGCCTGCCTCGCTTCGTTTCTTTGGCTTCCTGTCTCTCCAATTTTGCTTTTTCCTTCCCTGCCCGCTTTGTCGACTTCAGAGCGAACTGTTGGCGCCGCGTGAGCGCTGGGTGATCAGGAACATCTGGAAACGGGTCCTTCGAAGCACATGTGTTGGTTCCGGAACACACACTGATTGCCTGGTCATTCGTTTGTCAAAAAGACAATGCGGGGGGTTACGTTTGCGTCAACCCTTGGCAAACATAAAAATCAAAACACACCACAAACATATATTTCCATGCATCAGCCAGTGAACAACGCAGGCCTGGACCTGCTGCTCTTTAAGGATCACATTCTGGGCTAGGTCTGTTGATAGGAGCTTGCCGGGAGAGATGACCTGTTGCGTCTCGTCATTGTCGCCTGCAAACGGAAGCTGGCTATCATTGATGATCCAAATTGGTCCTTAGGGTGCTCTGCAAAAAATGGAAGCGTCCAATTTCAAGGATTGGACATATTTGCGCGTGTATAAACCACAACTTTTGCTGATCAACCTAGCAACCTCCTGATGACGCAGGCGCTGAAAGCTGCTTCTCGCTGATGGACGTAGGGGGACCCAGCGGCGCCGGCTCCGTCTCCTTGAGCGGCTGGGGCTTCAAATCGTCCTGGGGCTCCATGCACCTCAGCAAGCGACGGTGAACCCTTGTTGGCCCTCGAGGTTTGTTTCGTTTGGGTCGCATTTTTTAGTGAAGTGTGTTCAGTCGATAATTCAGCTAAATGGCAAAGAGAGCTGCGATAGCGCCCCCGTCAATCTCCCTAGCAATGACTCCCGAGACTCATCCTCTTCATCAGAAGAAACTGCAACCACCTGCAGTGCGTCCTGGCAGCTGCGCATTGCTAAAGCTTTGCTATATCGAGTTTGGACGCTGTAAGATCATTTCGGGCTGGGGTTATATGCTGGGGGCAAGGGTTGAGTGAACATTGTGTGAACCAAACAGGATAGAGGGCAAATCTTGCATGGGAACAAACCCTTTTAGCCACCCACATGGTTCCCTCAGCACGAAGCCTAGTTTGTCCCAGTGCTCGAAACAAGTTGCTCAAAGTAACATCGTCGCCTGTTGATTTTCAAATCACATTCGAGACTCCTCAATTCTATAGCAGTCGTTTGTTCCATGCCCCTCAAACTACATGTAGGCAGTTTTAGCCAGCGTTGAAATGTGTAAAGAGCCATGTGTAAAAGCAATGGACGGCTTTGAAACAAGTATATATCCTGATCAACTGGTGACCCTCTGAGCCTTTGCGCCAATCCCCATTACTGGCCGTTGAATTGCGGAAGACAGCAACTGTGCACAATACTAGCTTGGATTTGGAGTATGTAGGCAGGGCTCCCTTGAATTGAAATATACCACCCGGCAGGAAACTCATTTAAACTAAACCAGCAAAAACTCAGGAAATATTTGCGTACACATGGGAACCCTGCCATGTGTTTCATATAAGCCCAGCCGCGTAAATGCGACACGATTGATGGTGGATAATTGTTATCGGCTATCAAGGGGGGACAAGATGCGCGAGGTGGCAACTGGGTTGCTTGAAGCAACCGCGTGTTTGAACGACACAACTGGAAAGGGCTGCATTTGACAAATTGCACCGCTTTCCAGGGTATACCGAAAAGGAGTTTTTATATTCAGCTTTGTGATTGAAATGCGGCACAAACTGGACCGGCCCAAAGCTACATCTCATCCTTTTGTTAAGCGGGACGGGTACAGAGGTGGTGTAGGAGAGGCTGTTTTCTATATACGGGATATCTGATGTGTGCAATGATGGTTTCTCAGCCCCTGTTACCTCCAAAAGCCACACCTGAAGTTGCCTGAGTGGGAAGTGAGAGTAGCAAAAGATACATTATTCAAATGGAACCCATGTGGATGCCAAGACTTGACTTCTGTGAAGGTGAACTTACACCTCGTGGTTGAAACTCCCTGCGAGTAATGGTGCTGCGGTTCTCTGATGAGCCTATTGCCTCTTGCCAAAGAAAGTTGGCTTGTGGAAAAACAGACGCACTTCTCCCCTATATACAACTTAATCCATCCAAACGGCAGCTAACAAGGTCCCCGTCAACCCCAAGCCAAAGGGTGCCTTTGTTCCAAACTGGGTTGCTCTTCAAGCTACTTCCCAAAAAAACAAGTTGATGAGGGAACGTGTGTGTGTGTGTGTATAGAAACCCTACAACAGTCATCCTGATGATGCGCTTTTGTGCTTCTATAGGGTCTGCTCTAGAGCCGAGCCGTTACCCCAAACCCTCCACATCCACAAGCCCTTCATCCATACATTGTTTCCTTGATGCGCTTTGTGGAACTCTATATGTGGCATATCCTTTGCAAAAACAACCTGGACAAACCCTCCCAAACTTTGCCGAGAAAATCTAGGGTGGCACAGCGATCTGGTGATCTGATTTGCCCCGCAAAGGCTAAAACGCACAAAGCTCCTGGTTAGAAGCTGGCACGCCGACAGAAGGTTGCGTGGTGTCGCGCTTGTCCATGGGCGTGGACGTGGTGTCAGCAGTCAAGGATGCGCTGTTTGCTGGGCTGGCTGCCTGCTCTGGTTTGGATTCGGTCGCCACGGCTGCCTCTTTTGCAACCGGTGCTGGTTGCTCACCCGAAACAAGTTCATCTTGAGTGGTGGGAAGCTTCTCTTGGCTTTCTTGCTGCAAATCAACAGCTGGCTGACCGTGACTGGCAGTCACATTGCTGCTGGTGCTTTGGGCTTCTTGGCTGTTGCTGTCAGGCAACGGAAGTGCGCCAGGTGTGTCCTGTGCATCTTGCTCACTCTGGTCCTGCAAGTTGTTCCCCTGGTTCGCATCAGCCTGTGTGTTGGCAAAAGCTGGCCATTGCACCTGCCGTCCAACACAGTTTAAGCGGGAATTTCTGGACCAACAGATATCACCATTTTTTCGTGCAGATCCCACCCAAACACCGCTTATTTGCAAAGGGGTTGGCTTTGTTGGCATTTTCACACCAAATGGTCCAATGGTTGTTGAGGTCTTGAAACCGCAAGGGTTGCACTCTACATAAAGTTTTACCCCGTCATGACTGCGCCCTATGAAGGGCCAAATGTGGCCCCCTTGCCTCCCAGTTGACTCCAAGGTCCGCCAGCATGTGGCGGAGCTCTGAGTCCTGCAGAGGCCGGCGGGGTGGCTCTGGACAAACAATTTTTCCAACCCAATTCTTTGGCACAACATGTTCTAGCTCTTCTAGTATACACAAGCTGGAACCCTAGACACATGTCCTTGGGAGGATGGTCTTTGTATTGCCAAGACTTCGCTGTTGTGAGAAGCCTGCGTATCGCCCAGCTTTCTTGGTAGATGGTTTCCTGGCTCACGCTTACCTTGGCTTTCTGGTAGAGCAGCCCCATTTGCTCCATCACCCTGTCTATTTGGGGAAGTAGCTGGTCATTTTGGCTCATCAACTTCAGCAGCGGGGTGAGGATCTCTCGGTTGAGCTTCACATTGGAGTTGGTGCGCTCGACATACTCATTGACTTCCTTGTGCAACAAACCATCCCAATGCATGAGAACCCGGTTTCCTTCACGAAGCCTTTGCCTCACCAAGGCAGTGTCATCCCAAGACTCACTTACCCCGCTCAAATCATAGGGAGCCGCTTTCTCGACCCCTTTTGAATCTTCTGACGCCATGGCCGATTGTGCCCTAAACCTGACCTCAAAACGGCTGCAGGTTGCTGGCAATTTCTGAGCGATGCTTGAAGATGCAATCACGTGTGTTCAAACCGCACGCAGTCCACATGGCTGCATTGGTGGGACACTTGTATATATAAATGCATGCTCTTGCGTGGCACATCCGAGAACCGCAGCGCTGGTAAAAACGGCCGGCAGCGCCTCGACTCGTGGAGGTTCACCAAAATTGCATATAGGCGCCGAGCGTCATGCGCTGGCTTGGGCTCCAAAACCAGGCTGTCTCATTTTGGGTTGTAAAAATTCTGGCGCATCATGAGAACACGGTGTTTCAGACCGATGCATCATGCCAGCCTTCCTTCATGCCTGGAGCCCCTGCAGCGAGATGCAAGGTCCTCAACTCAAGGTATATAGTTGACCTTCTGTGTGAACTTCTTACATTGGTTCTGATCTCCCCCTGAATGGCCAGAATTCGCACCGAACGGTCTCGAACGGTCTCGAACGGACCCGAACGGTCAGAATCAAGCAGTGTTACTTTTCCCACACCGCTGCCCAAAAACATGTTTTTTGGACTTGGTGTGGAAATTATACACCTGAGGATGTTCCAGGTAGGTGCTTTTTGGATCGTCCACGCGCAAAGGGTTCCGCGCGCCTGGACCTCCAGGGAAGCCCTGGTGTCCCAAATGAACCGGTTATCTGCCGTAGCAGAGATGCTTTTCACCAAACCCAAAGGACACGGCCCAATTTCCCGCGGGCTTCGATTTTTGAATGGACGAACTCCTGCATCGCTTTCAAATTCGAAACCGTGGGAAACCATTGCTTGTTGGCATTTGCAGAAGGATCATCATTCCAGTTGCAGGATTTCGTGCACAGATAGTATGTTGCGAAACTTTGACCCAGCTACACTGCAAAAATAGAAAGATCAACACAAAGATTGCCGCCCCCCCCCCATTTCGGGGTTAAACAATATGTGACATCAAATGTTTCACGTTTAGTCAACCATAAAAAAGAAAAACACACAAAAACATATATAAAAAAACGTGGAGCCGAGGGGGTCCTATGAACAGTTGGGTCCCAGGTCCGTTGGTTGGCCTCACCGACCTCGCAGCAGCCGCTGCATGGTCCTACCAGCACCATATGCTCTGCCCCGCTTGGAGCCGGACAAAAGAAAACCAAATCAAAGGGCCCATATGGGCACCCCCTCACCAAATACCAACCCACTTCTTTCCGGTTGTGATGTCAACCCTTTACTAAAAAAGGAGGTATGAACCCTGAAAAAAACACGGGTACTGGGTGTAAGGCGGTATGTCCTGTTTTCGGAACCCCCCCCGCCGGCCCCAAGTGTGTCTCACAACGCTGTGGACAAAATCCATGTCGCACCAGTTGGGATTGGCGGTGTATCAACCATTGTTAATAGGGCTTTGGTGCAGGATTTTGTCCACCCACAGAATGAAAGGGGATCCAGGTTAGTTTCCGAATGATTTGCCCAAAGGACCCATACTTACAGGGACTTTTAACCTTTGGGTCACCTTGACGTTTTCCAATTTTGTTGCATTTTGAGTCACAGCCCCAAAAAGTTAAGGTCAAATTTTGATTCCCAGGTCCTTTGGGCAACTGAGAATGGGCCCACCTGCCCTCACCAACGAAGGTCCCGCCAACCCACAGTGAGAGCGGACCTGGGCTCGCGATACAAAGCGAATCGAAACTCTCCTTCTGGTTTCCCAAAGGGTTGCCGAGATCCTTTCGCAGAGTTGCTCCCAATGACCTGGTCAAAAGAAAAGGATATTGCGCTGTCTCAAAATAGGGGGTCGCAGTTTCGTTGGCTGGTTTTCCCATTTGTTGGATTTGAAAGCTCCTCAAGAACCGATCCCAGCTGCTTCGAGGCCCCTTGGGCCAATGGAGGTACCCAACCAGAAATGCCATGTATTGATTCGAATTCTGCTCTACCTCTAGTGAACCTCATGAGAACCTGATGTGCAATGAGGAACATCTTTCAAAGAGTCCAAAACAAAGATTCGGCCGGCGTCTGTAAATGGAACCTCATCAACAATGTTGGCTTCGAATGAGGCCCGGAAGGGTCCCTTTGTTGTGCGGCCCCCGCCCGCTTTAAAACATTGTTTATGGGGCGAGGATTCTAGGCAAATTACTAGTCACCAACATGCAATAAGAGATGCATCTTGGGTGAGCTGGTTCTTCCCCCAATATGTTCACCCTTCTCTCAAGAATTAACCTGTAGACCTTTGACAAAATGGGTGTCTTGTTTGGGGGGCACCGTTTTGGGTCCGTGTTCAAGGAAACCACCCAGTTTGGGGTTACACAAATCCAAATGGAAACCTTCTATGTGTGTTTCCCCCGTAAAACATGAGGCATTATTTCCAGTAGTGAATTTGATTCCCTCTATAACCAACAAGGGGACCGCTTACATATTTTCAGCAAAGTATCTCATGCTTACCCGTTCGGCGCACGCGGGGCAGTGAGTAGCGCAGTCCTCCGACGCCCGACTGCCTGTCCCGAATCCGGGGATCGAGTGAGCCACCGGACACGTGGATCCCAGATGATAACTTCCGTTTGCCTAAGACCCCTGGAACAAACAAACATATTTCCAGTAGTGATAGATCCGCGGATCTAAGCAGAACGCTTCCTACCTGTGGGGTTGCGACATCCAGGAATTTGAAATCGAACCACGAAAAGAAACCATGGTTAAAGCCATTTTTCTTGGCATGCCCAGAGGAATCGAATCCCTTGGGTGGTGTTCCCCTCCAAAAGTGGTCTGAACCCCCCGTACAAAAAAGGGAACAACCCCTGTGAATCAACCAGGCGAGTTCGATTTCGCATGGTTTGCACCAGGTGAGCAACGGAAAGCAATTCGTGCTTGGTGAAAATAGTTTCCACTCCCAAACCACTAGCCCCAGAGGGAAATTGGGTATATACCTATGAATAGTCTAGCGATTGCATATCCTATTGGGGGCGGTTGCTACAAGCAGGGGCATCGGCTTAGAACACAGCAATTACTAGAACCCCAGCTTGAACAAACGCGAAGAAGCTAATTGGTTCAGTGTCAGTAGATTCCTACAAACATGTTAACCAAAACGCAATGTGTGTGTGTGTGCTTTTTCCCCCGAGGGTGCCCTGTTTTGGTTGTGCTTACAGCGGCACACAGGAAAACCACATTTATTTATTTATTCGGGGGGTCCCCTTAAACAAAGACACACCCAAATGCAAATGTTTGGAGGGTTTGGGTGTTCCATCTAGGTCTGCAGAAAAGTCTAGGTCTGCAGAAAAGTCGGCAAACAAAGTTCCGGCAGGCTTCCCCCAACAAAAGATCTCCCTTTTACCTTTCAAAGCAACCTCAGGGGTGTCATCAAGACAAACGAACGCAACTGGGAACATACTCGGGGAAAAAACACGTCAAAATAAAGCCGAGGGTGCACAGCTCGGCGAAAAGGCTTCGGAAGCCTTGTCTCCGTGAAGGGTTACCCACAGGGCTGGCTGATGTTAGATTTCAACCGATGGACCCGAGGTTTCCTTGGGGCATATAACTCACTTCCCGAGTGGCCGGAAAAAAATAAGCAAACTTTGACTTGACTGAAATTCTGTCCAGTCCAACTCCGGGAGTGAGGGAATCCCTCCTTTAGGCATCTTTAGCCAACCCCGCCCTCCCAGCAGCCGCGAGCTTTTCAGGTCACGGCTTTGGACGTGACGGGCAAAGCGGCCGGCTGTGAGACTCAGCCCTGGATTTCTCCCTGCCAGGGTTGCGGAAGGCCACCAATCGACTCTCGAAAGAACATCTTGGTGGTTTCCCTTTGGTTCCCCTTCGGTTTCCTCAATGTAATGTTTAGCCCGGAGTAGTGAAGCCGTCCACATTAATACGGGAGTGTTCCTCTCCAAAGGTGATTCCCCACCAAAACTCAGGGACACCCCCCTATTAATAAGCTGGGGTTTAATAATCCGGGGTTCCCATGATATGTGGCACCTCAAAGAATGTGGCTTCCTTTCTGTTTGCCCTTTAAGCAAACCCAAACGGCTCCCCTCGACAAAGCACACTACCACAGACCATTTGAAATCAATACCCTCGATCTGTCAAACCCTGGTCAAAAGCTTCTTTTGTCAGTCATGGTCATGGTTCTCAGTTGCCCACCTTTTGAGTCCATGACTAAAAATGGCCCAAGTACGCACCACGGCGAACCCACCAGAGCTCACCGCGTAGTTTCCCCCAAAAGGTGTTTTTGTGATTTGTGTTTCTGGGTCAAGGGGGAGTACAGTTGTTTAAAGAGGTGTCCGACAAACCGCACGTGAGTTTGAAGGGTTCCCTATATGCGCTAGGCTTGCTCCTTAAGCCTTGGCTGTTTGACTGGGGTTTTAGACAATATGTATCAGCTTTGTTTTTTGCAAAGGGGACCCTCACTTGCCCAAAGCGAATTGACCTGACATGACCTTTTGGTTTGCCCTTGCCGGTTGTGGAGCCATCGAAAACGGGTCCATGTTGGTTGTGGTTCTTTTGTTTGCTTGTTCTTGAGGCTCGGTACCAATGGTTTTGAAGGGGCAAAAGGAAAACGACGAGTTTTAAGGTTCCCCTGTGGAGATATACCATTTATGGCATGGTTGTAAACGGGCAAAAGGACAACCACTCATTTTGGGGTATTTTGAGACACACCCATGTGTATGACTCATTTTCGCGCTTTGTTGGTCGTTGACCATTTCACCCCTGAGTAGCCTGGCCCAAACAAAACCCAAAGTTGTTTTGTCTTTGCTTGATCCACAATGGTCCGAACCCAAAAAGGGAGTGAAGTCCAGAGCTCAGGTAGGGAGTCCTTGACCACAGACCTGATTTCAAGCCAAACTCCGCCTGGCTGCTCGGTCCTCCGATGGGCTCGGCTTGGGTCGCGGCCAGGCGCGGCAGAGGGGGCAGGTGGTGCGGTGCTTGGCGCGGCGCAGCCAGCTGAGGAGGCACTCCTGCAGGGTGTGACAGGGGTCACTGGCTGTCAGTCCAGTGGTGCGGTAGGAAAAACCCACGGACTCCCGGCTTTTGGTGTGGTAGCCAAACACGTGTTGTTTTTGCAGGCTAAATACATGAACAGAAAAACAACACTAAAAGCATCCCTACAAAAGTGAAGGTGTCCCCTTCAAAAGTTACAAATCGCTGGGTGGTTCCCATGGAAACGATCGGCGCTTCTGGAGGATCCGCAAAGGAAAATGGCATGGCAACGACTGCTTGAAGATTTCTGACACACTACTGAGTTGCCTATAACCCAAAAATATGATCATCTTTGCATTCCATGACTAATGGACCATACTGTGGATGGACAAGACCCATTCCGCACCACTTTGAAACCATGGTTGAAACCATTGTTCGTCGATGTTTGCAGGGGAATCATCATAGGGTGCTGAGCGGTGAAGCGAGAAGTGGATGTCGCAACCGGAAAGCCATTTACCAACTGCTGCATATTGTTTCGCAAATCCGCGGCATAGTGAGAAAGAATCAGTTCTCATACCAAGATTTTCCAGGCGGTGGCCGCAGTCAACGTTCAGCAAACGTGGAAGCAGTCTTCCGAAAAGGGATGTTGGCACTTCCATGGCGGGCATGTGGGCATGTCTCAAGCCAACTTCAGTTGCATGTGTTGTCAATATGTTCCTTTCTTCCTCACCTGCCCGAAGCACCTGGAAATAACAGGCTAACCTGTTGGGGTCATTCACAAAAAAATGACCAAACAGTGGAACCTCACAGGTCAAAAGGTCGATTCGCTTCGGGCAACTGGGTGTCGCATCCAGGGCAAGCGATTTGCCATTGGACACGCGCCAAGCTTCGGACCACAAAAAAAAAGCCGACGCCGCTCCGCGTGGAAGAGGTGTCCCGCGGGGCACGGGAAGGCCAAGGTGGAGTCCGAGGCCTGCGGGGCCAAGTGAAAGAGGTCAGTTGGCCAGTGGCTTGGGAAACCGAAGGGAGTCCAACGGGAAAGCCACACCCAACTAATCAGATGCCCCTTTGGTTGTCAATTGGCCATTAACTTAACATTGCCAACTTCAGCCCCTAAGTGGCAGGTTCAAGGGAAACAACCCCAGGAATTCAGTTGTCCCTTTAGGGACCCCCCAAAAATGTGATCACCTTTTGGGTTGCCATGACCACAAATGGCTGCCAACAAGGGGAAACTAAAAGGTCAAATTGCAACACCCTTGGGAAGCACATGCAGGGCTGTTTTGTTTCTGCCTGAAATCTAAGCCCCAGTACGGCGACCCCCGTGGGCCCTCTTTCAGGAGTTCCCTACGCAAACCCGGGTTGCTTAAACAGTAGCTTTACAAGACCCAATAGGGATGCCAAAAGTTTGCTGTTCAAACAAAAGGACAGCTTCCTGAATGGGTTAACCTTTTTTACCTCTAACATTGCTTTCCTCCCAGAAAGTCGAACAGCTGGGGAAGTGAGAGTCTGGACGGACAGAATCCTGCACTAGTAGATAGGTGGTTTATTCATTTTGGCTTCATCCGTCGCAACTGGTGCCGATCGGCCTAAAATGTTGCCCTTCTGTAGGATACGCAGGTCCTTGTCATTCCCTTTGTTCAGGCAACCCCTATAGTTGGTGCTATTGATTTTTGCTTTGGGGGTTGAACCCCGGGCTCTTGCAATCTGAAGGAAAATGGGAAACCACCCCTTAACCATCAAACCACCAATGCACACCACCAGTTAAGGGACAGCTGACTTTTTTATTTTATTTTTGTAAACATGCTGTGGATAGACGAAATCCTGAACCACCTAAGAACCCTTGGAATGTTGATTCTCTTGTAAATACCAACTGGCAATTGTTTCCGCATGGCTTCAACGTGGTGCAGGATTTTGTCCAGCCACTGTATCACCTGGGCATGTTTAACATCTGCAAAAAAAAAGCCGTGGTGAAGCAGCGGCGGTCTCCGTTCCGGCGCCTGGAACTTTGCCAGGCAGCAAGGGCACTCGGCGCCCACGGAGCTACCAGGGCATGGCCTCAAACTGCATCACCGAATTCTGATATCCACCCCTTGGGGCGAATGCAAACCACATGGGTCTGTTGCTTTTAGGGTACCCCTCCCTTTGTGGTGGTTTTAGAGGCAAAACAAAAAGGAAACCCGTGCAAACTTTTTTTCGGGGGGTTCCCTGAAAAAAGGCACGACGATTGGCATATCCAATGCCGAAACATTCCGAAACAGAACTCGGGGAGTGAGTATATGAACCTGATATTTATGCAATCTGCAAGTTTTACAATTGCCAGCCAGACAAAGTCTAGTCAAGGACTGCTTCCAGCCGCACATTTGCAAACGGCTTGGGCGTGAGAACCCAGACCTCCCGTGGCCACAGGAGTGTGGCACTTGCCACTGCATCTTAGATGAGGCGCCCACGGGGTCCGAAGGGATGCTTGAGGTGTGTGTGGTTTCTGGTTTACGGAAATGAACCCTCTTGACGAGCCGTGTCCAATGCCATTTCTGCGGGCAACCAAATGCTTCTCGGGGTCACTGAACCACCTCTAGCGTGACAACACGTTGATGAGACCCTGTTCCATATGTCATATCATCTAGTATAGTCTTGGAGGAGACTGCGCAAGTGAAGACAAGATGGCCCCAGACCCCGGTGGATATCCCAGTCCCATGCCAAGTCACCCGGGGCACAGCTCCACCACCGCCGCTTGCTGCGGCTTCGCTTGCTTCGGCTCCGAAAGCCGCGGCTCAGGCGCTACCGCGGCGGCGCCGACCAGCGCC